ACTGTATTTGATGTGCTCTGTATGTGCATTAAACAATGTCTAGAAGTAAAAACCAAAATTATATCCGTTCTTCAAAATGATTGGGTCTTTTCAAAAGACTTACACCGCTCAATTCATTTGGATTAATTCTACAATCTCGATGTACTACTTTAAGTGAGCACATTCTGGTTGCAGGCTTTCAATGGATGGACAACAATTATGGATCATTTATTTGAGTAAATGACGAGATTTTAATGTTTGGGTGAATGATTCCACTTAAATAAGAAGCTTTATTCTCCTGTGTTTCGTAAAACAAAGTCATATGGGTTTGGAACATCATGAGGGTGAGTAAATGTCTACTTTTTTCAAGAGTAGAGCAGATACACTGAAGAAAAACAAAAAGCAAAACTGGTTATTATCAGTCTATTGGCCCAGAGCACAGTCTTAAATGCCTGACATTACCAATAATCAGTAACCCTTAGAATACAAAAGCCACTGGCACTGACACAGACAGTAACGGACCACCTCAACCTGTCATTTTATATCATAACACATTTTCCTCCCCTCAGTAAACCTGCATACACATCTTCCTACAGCACCCTTCATCAAGCCCTCTATAAATACCCACCCCTCTACAGTAGAGTATCAAAATAGCACCTTCCTGCAATGAAAGCTCTCTGCTGTGTGTCAAGCTTTTTCCAAATCACATTTGCCAAGTGAGAACACTGCTAAACTTAACCTGAAGGCACCAAAGCACTGCTTCAGTCAGGTGTCAGACAGAAAAAGAGCAAGTGAGAGAGGGGCTATTGCAGGCTTAAGCCTGTACTTGAAATATATACTAGTTTAGATACAGAATGTTGTTGAGAACATATATAGTAGGCCTCAAAGTTTAGACACTTAAAGCAACAATTTTATTGCATCATATCATATGAAGTGGCTTGCTGCATCTCTTGCATCATTTTAAACTTTCTTCTGAATATCTGTGCTGCTCTCTTCCACACAACAAAAGTGACAAAAAAAAAAAAAACTAACAACTTCTGCATTATGGCTCCAAATTATTTGGAATATATGACAGTTTTGTTTGAGGACGAGACCAAAATTTGCCATGGCCACTATTCACATTCATTTTATGAAAATGAAAAGCTAAGACAGGCTATAGTGAACTTATCCTTTTCTGTTTGACAGAAGCAAGAAACTCATGGGTTTCGAAAGACAAGACTGTGAGGAAATAAGCATCCATTTTCTTTCAGGGTATTTTTCATAGATCAACATTTGCAAAGGTACTAAAGGTGAATGACAAGCAGAATTACAGAAATACATTAACATCAGGGCGTGTATGTAACGAGAGGCAGAACAAAAACACCCGCGTGAAACCCTGTGGCTTTGTTTGCCGATTATGCAACCAGTGCTGGAACACTTTGTTAAACCCAAGCTTGTACACTCAACAAAAAATCACACAAAACAGCACACTAATAAAATGAGGAGACATTTTAAGTTAATGCCTCTATGCAGCTTCCTCATCTTGAGGTTTCGAAATGTGTTTAGCACATATGTGCTCTTCCTTGATTCCATGTGCATCAGTTAGCACTTCAAATATTTGTCAAAGGGTGCAAATTTGGACTATTTTGAAATAGATTCGAGATTACATTTATGGTCCAAATTTTCGATAATAACAGTGACCTGATAAATGTCTCTCTGGCCTCCAGGCCACAATGTTCAAGTCCTTTTTGTTGCACTTGCATGAACTTGACAGGACACAAACAGCGAAATTTTGATTGTAAACCACAGCTGATGGCATATCAAATAGGTGAGATGTCAGTGATTTGCATTAGCTCAGCATAGCGCTCGGGTTACAAGCACATTAAAAAAACAAATAGCTCGCAGAGGAGGTAAACACGGAGTATTTATCCTGTACAAAAGCTTTTGCGCCAATAAATCATACGGATTTAACTCAATGCATTCAAAAAAGGACATGTTCATGAAACGCGCCACTGACCCGTTAAACTAGATGCTCTAGGTTGCATGTCATCCCAGGAGTCAGTCGCATTAATAAACCAGCACTCAGCCAGATGTCTAGGCCTTGTTTTTGTTAGCCAGGACACTTCGTAACTACACCAAGAATAAAGCTCGCTGGGTAACAGAATGCAATTAAATCGTAAGCGTTTATATTAACACTCAGCAAACGCTACCCGTTAAAACGCACCAATTTCTCCGTGTTAAAATGTTCCGATTGGCATCACTTCCGTGTGAACTCACCTCTGATTTTCCGTCTCTCTGCCTTTAATATTAATGGCGTCCGTGTGTTGATATAGGGAGGGTCACGTGGTTTAAAGTGTAAACGGACACCCGCAGGAAACGCGTACGTTGCTCACGGCGGCTGATTGTCAGCTGCCCCAGCCAATGAATGACAGTGTTGCGAAATACGCCCCGCCCTCTTTTATATGCTGCACGTAAATTACATAGATATTGTCCATGGTACATGTGTTACATGTGTACATGTGTTAGGTTGTAAAATCCAAAATAAAATTAGAGGTTCTTCTCGAACATCTCCATTGGCTCTATTCAGCAAGATAGCATTTGCAGATGATGGAAAATATATAAATACAAACTTCCCTGAAACCGCTTACGTTTATTTTTTTTACGTTTTAGTTAAAGGGGTCATATGATGCTTTTTTAAAGATCATTATTCTCTTATCACATTTTGGTGTAATATACAGAAATGTGTTAAGTGTTCAAGACCTATTTTAATATTGGTGAAAAAAATGTATTTCTTTGATACACAAATGATCTTGGGGGAGAGAATGTAGGCTAGCCTATAATTTAATTAGGTGTATTCTTTTTATAATTTGAAAACCCATTACATTTAAACTTATATTAAAACAAATGCAATATATATTTTTCTAAATTCCATGTATATAAAAGTAGCCTAAATTTACTAATACACAACTGAAAACACAACTTCAGTGAAACCAGACAGTACATTGACAGTATCAAGAGACTCTGTTTAAAAAATAAAACATCAAGACTTGAAATATTTGTAAACTTTATTTTTAAATTGTTTACACTTTACTCAGAATTTTGTCTACATGTTGCGCATTTACTCTTGCCCCCCCCATTTAAAAATGCAGGTGGCATACAAAGTCAGTAATGTGAAATAAATCCTGGTAGATAATTGTAATTTTTCTAGCAGCATTCAAATGTAAATAAAATTAAAATATCAATTCAGTAAATAAAACACTAAACTAACTGAACAATATTTGAACAAAATGGCATATGTGAAAGATTTATTGTGGTTTTTATAGCTGCTTTTCCGGCTATTTGTTTAATTGTCCAGTAGAGGGCGGCATAATGCATCTGATACAGTAATAACCGCACCGTTTCACTTGTGTTTGCTCACAGCCACATGGCGTTTGTTCTGTCACTGTGGTAATTAAAATATTGCGAAGCGTGATAATAAGACATTAATTTGAACAACGCAAACAAAAATGTTTCTTTACAAGTTACAATGTCTTAAAATACACTAACTATATTCATAAAGCTATTTGATTAACTGAGGCAAACAATTTGTCATCATGCACACAAGCTTAGAAAGAAGAAACATCAATTTCTGAGTCTGGGAAGACTGATAGCTGATACAAAATGCGTTTTCAATTGCATCCATTTTTTGATTGAACAGTTAAATTAATTAAACAGCAGGCTTTTTGACTTTATTTCTTGAGAATATTAAATTCTTTATATTTGGGTCATTGATCATGGCCAGAGATAAGCTACGTAAGAACTACTTTATTTAATAACTGGTTTACTTTACATAAGTCCACCACTGTGTACTCAAATCCATTTTTATAGAGCAGGATGAGAGGAAACATCCTTAAAACACACCCTGACGTGCACATATGGAAGAGCGTTTTATTAGGAGCCAGATTTGAACCCTGCCTAACAGAGGAAGCGCTCTCTTTCACTCTTAATCCTTATGGTGACAAAGGCCCTATAATGAAGAGGTCACCATCAGAACAAAGACGGAACACAAGCACCACCCCCACCAGTGTTTGCCTTGTCCGTCTGCTGTCATGTTCGGCCTTCGACCGGTGGATGACTGGATTAAGGAAGGGTTCTGAGGTTTATGTTTGCAAAAGAGGAAGGAAGCACTGTACATGGGTGCCCGGTGTTGAAATCTCATATCTTTTTTTGAGAGCAAGGACACAAGCTTCCACTCCCTGGTTGATTTTTTGGTACTTTAAATCCAAGCACAAAAGTTGAAAGGGGCTGATTCAGACCGCGTCATGCTTCTGTATTAGGAAACAGAGTCTGCAGTCACCAAATAAAACGTTCACAGCCGAGTTTCTTTTTTTACTGATAAGAAAAAAACAACAGCGAAGCGATCAAGGGTAGAAGTCAGCAGCTTCAGACACGGCTTAAAGAATGTATGGCCTCTTTCTCCACAGATGTGTAGCCTAATCACAAAGGAATGCCTGCAGACCGCTCGGCTTTTCCACCGGCCTCCGTTCGCTCGTTCTCTAGTCGCTCCCCCCCCCGGCCGAGGTTCACAGCACATGAACGCACCTCAGAGGGTCATGCTTTCACAAAGGACAGAATGCCACTTCAGTCAGCAAAGCAGCGCACAGACCCCAAAATAGAATTGGTTGTGAGAATAAGTTTGTCTGCCCCATTCATGTGATTGTCGTTACTCACACGCACTTCCCCAACATCTGACAAGAGAGTCGCTCTCTTCTGAGCATCTGTTTGGTGTCTTTTCCATCCGAAATGTCAGCCTGTGAAATTAGCACGAGGTTTCAGCCACTTTTGTTTGCTCTACATCATTGCAATTGGGATAATCAAGAAGTGTCGCAATCCAAAACGAGCAAAAACACATGGTGTAGTTTACTTTCGTTTTGAAGATCGCGGACGTTAATCCAGCACAAGTGCATTATGAGGTGGACTCCAGCTCATTTTCTCTTGATTAATGTAATATTGCTGCTTAAACATTCCTCCTTTTCCTTTTTTCTCTCTTTCTCGAGTGCCTGGGAACGTATAGAGAGCTGACGGGGAAAAACTACCTGTTAGTTGTTTATTATTTTCCAGTCCTCCAGGTGTAGTGACTGCTGTGATTATCCGTGCTCCACCCAAAACCACCCTGCTGAGTGGAGATGGATGGCTCATGGGGGATAAAAACACACTCGAACACACACTCTCGTATGTTGCTAGGGTGTTGAGACGTGGCTATTATCATGGTGTTGCTGATGGCCTAGTTTTGATCATACAAAAAGGAGGTTCCTCCGAATGTCTAACCCAGCTTGCCGCCTAGAGCACAGTGAGGAGAAATGACTAATTAAAGCAGACGTTGTTTTTGCATAAATCAAGGTTGGATTCGGACTGACAGTTGGCGTGAAAATTTAAATAGATTTCCTGAGAAGGAAAGGGAGAACAAATGCGAGCGTTCAGTTGGCATTATGCAATTTGGCGTTAGCCAGACAGGAAAGGGGACGTCCGCAGGAAGGTGTTTTGAAATGAGATCATTAACGAGTTTGTAGAAGGCGAAGAAGACTGAGGAATGCTTACAGCTTTGTCTCTTCATTTGGGGTTTTCAGATGCCTGTCTTTGAAGGCGCACAACAAAAGCCAAGCTGAAGCTATCGTTTTTCAAGTGGAACCCAGCAACGGCTGGGCTCTACCTGATCTATCGTCGCACTGCTCCTTTGCACATTCTGAATTGATTCAATAACATCCCTGTTTTCTATGCCCTTGGCACCGATGCTTGTGGCCATAAATAGCTTCCATATGACATTCGTAACAGCGCATATATATGCGCGATAAAGCGCAGTGCTAGCATCGTTTCATTGTTCCAGTTGAGCAGAACGTAATTGAGAACAGCGAGTCAAGGCCAGGGAGAATCATTTATGCACACTCCTTTAATTTCAGAATAATTCTTACAACTGTTGTTTAAGGCGTCATTTTTTAAAGTGAATTTATGTTAAATATTTCCATTAGCGCCTTGCACTGTAGGCAGTATGATAATTTAAATAGTCACCCAAAAGGGTTATTACATAATATTATCTTTACAAATGGAAGCGGGCACAGCCGCTGAAAGCTAATCTAGGGAAATTGATCAGCCGCACGGGTTGTCCTCTGTTTTTCCTTCCTTCCATCCATGAAAATGTACCTCTGTCTTTTTTTTCTCCACAGGATGGATGTTTCAGGGTTGCTTGACAGATCCTATTTTACTGATCTTGGTGAACGCTCAATCTATTTTCCTCCCCCCCTTTATTAATCCTCCTAATGTTTTCTCTCCTCCTCCGGCGGCTGATGCACTCTTTGATATATCATTGCTGAAGGGAGCGAGGGAAAATGTCAATTACGACTGTTAAATGTGAACATTTAACTACTGTATGGATGTTGGAACCGCTGCTGTAGTTTTATAAGAGGGCTGGTGCGTTGAAGAGAACGAAAAGCGGATCATTTTCTCGGTTTATTGGTCAGGTTAAGTTGAACCCTGCTACCACTTTAGGGAGCTACGCTCAAATAAAATCTAAAAAGTACCCTTTTCCCCTCCAAGCAGTGCTTTAATGATAAATTATGTATTTTGTCTCTAAATGGAGGAATTAAAAGCTTCTTTGTGCTGTTCTCTTGTGAGATCTGCAGCCTGACTCAGACCCGTTAGGAATGATTGCATCTCTATGAGAAGATACTCCATTTTAAAGCCATGACTGGATTAAGTTTTTTTTCCCTCACATTAATGACCCCTTCCTGGAAATGAGTGTGTGTGGAGAAGAGAGAGATGGAGAGAGCAAGCCAGCAAGGCAAGAGAACAAGGCTGATGTCAGTGGTCTGTCACCCCTCATGTGGTTATCCCCCGTGGGTCTGCCACTCCATCACTTCCTATCCGTTTACCTCATCGCCGCCATATTAACAAGACTTTCCCCACATAGGGATGATGCACCTACAGTAAACAGCGAAAAAAATTAGGTTAGCATCTGTTCGCATTCCTTTGCAGAAACATTACATCCATAGGTCAAAGGTCAGCGCATGTGCAGCCATAATGATGCTATATGCACTAATAATCATGATTGGGGTGCAAAATTAATAGAAAATATTTTTTGGCCGACATTGAAACTGCATCTTGCATTATTTTTTTAAATTATACAAATATGTGGCTTCTTTTTTTCCCTTTACAATGCAGGTTATTGTGTTGCAGCTGTCAACTGCACCTGTCACATAAGTAATTTTCTTGACATATTCGTTGTTCTGAGCGATTAATGCAGGGAATATTCCACATGGGATAGAGACAGGAAAAAAACTTCTTCTGTCCTAAATAAATTTTCCACCAATGTAGACTCTTGAGTTATTTTCTTCAGCAGACGGCTGAAGAACAGACGGCAGCACACTTACATCAGCAAGGTCAAACCAACATTCAACCAATGTAAACCATGTAATGTTGCAGTTTCTGATGAATTTACCAGCTAACTACAGAGTAATTTGTTTTCATTTTATAGCCTGGTAATGAATGATGTAATAATTTGTAACCTGCTGAGCTGCACTGTAACATAAATGTTCATTTTAAAAGCCAAAATTACAGTTTTTATGTCTTCTAAATATAACTAAACACTTCCCCAGTGTTAAAACTGCTCTCTCTCTATATATATATGCTTAATCATTGAGGTAGAAGAGACAGCCTCTGCCCCAGTCAAATATAAAAATGGTTTTCATTGCTGACTCACATACAGGTGTGTGTATATATCACACCAGACAGCCTGTATTTTAACTCGACTATGAACCATAATCAAGCAGCTCGCTCTCTCATTTGGAGTCAGATATATTAAGAATTTATGGCTGTATAAATTATGTAAACATTTAAAGGTCATCTTTTATTTATGGATACAAACAGCAGCGCTGACAGAGGAACAAACAGCTTGAATACCTAACAGAAACATTTCTGGTCGCATCGGTGTTCCAGTCTAATTATCAGTTTCTGACGCGTGCGTCAGTTCCTCCAAAGTCAGTCGGGAGAAAAACGCTCTTTACTCTTTTAAAACTGGCTAATAAGGCAAAGCGAAGAAACTATTGTCTCTTTTGCACTGATTAGCTCTTTGCCTAGCGATTTTATGCAAGACTAAGTGAGAGGATCGCAATTCAATTATTCCAGAAAGCAAAACCTTAAGGCCACCAAATTGCGTAAAGACACTATTTGAGTCTCTTGGAGAGAAATTTGTGTCATTGGAAATTAAACGCTTTTGTGGCGCTGGAAGGTTAGTGTTGTTAATGGTATTAGGGAATGTGGTGTTCTGAGATTATTAAAATACGTGTTGGAGAGAGAAGGAGAGAGGGGTGGAAAGAAAAGAGGAGGGGAAAAAAATCAATAGCTGCAAGCACAGCTCCTGCTCTAGATGGACATCTCCTCTGTCTTTATGCACCCTAATAGAAAAATAACAATTAAATCCAAATCGCCACATTAATTTGGTTTCCATCGGTCTCGGGGGAGATCATCTTTACCAGTTATTATTCGCAAGGTTATTATATCTTCTAATCAAGCCTCTTAAGAAAAAAAAAAAACAGTCCAATGGAAGAGACAGGCTGTGTTCCCTCCACTTCCCCCCTCCCCCAGCAGGCTTGCATTGCACTCATTGTACTTGTGCTTATTATGTTTCAAATGACCGAGGTATGGCTGACATTCTGGCTGCATGCAGAGAGGCCCAGCCTCCGTTAATGACGCAGCTCATAGTCCTAAGAGCCTCAGCTCCTCACCCACCCACGCCCCAACCCCCAACACACACACACACACACACACACACACAGGCTCTAATGAAGAACCACCAACACAATTACAAACCCCAGTGTGCCTCTGCTGGAAGAGGGGAGGAGGTTATACACAGTCACTCAAAGGGAGGAATATTGCCATGTGTGCACACACACAAATATACACACAATTACTGTTTTCTTACTGTGGCCGGGGTGGTCTGATGATCACAGATAAACATGGACCGTATGCACACGTTTAGATGCACGTCTTGCACACCATCGTCTCATCTTGTCCTCCCACTCTCCGGAGCGCTGATCCCCGGAGGTTTGCCTGCCTGTCCATGTCCCTCCATAAGCATCCCTTTTCACCCGGCTTCATCTCTACAGGTGAGGAGGGGGTCAGAGAGGATCAACGAACGCATGCATAAATTGGTAAACGAATGTGCATGTCCTCTGTACACTCTGATGCTTCCAAAAAGACCAGTGGCTGGTTCTCCTTTGAACAATTTCAAATTTAGTTTCATTACACGCACATTAAAATGACAGCAGCGGTATTTAGCAGTAAAGTCACAAACGGTCAGCAATTATAATCGGGATTAGCTCACCAGTTGTAGTTACATGACTATAACACTAGTACTTTCTGACAACAGTGTAAACTTAAATTATTAAAATGTGCCTGACAGTTTGCAATATATACAGTTGTTACATGTATAAACGTTAGTTATCCACTGTTTTTCTCTCTAGCATTAACATGTTTATATCCCTCATTATTAGGGTTATTACAGACTAGTTATCTAAAACTGAAACTAAAATTAAAACCATAAAAAAAAAAAACATTTTTGTTAATTCAAATAAATGTTAACTGAAATAAAATAAAATATAAAATATTTTTTTTCCCAGGTAGTTGTCAAAGCAAAATTTCTCATTTTATTTTAGTTTAACTTCATGTACTAAAATTTAACTAAAACTACTAAAAAAATCTCAGATGAAACTAAAATGAAAATGTAAAACATAAAAATTGAATCTAAATATTATAATAAAAACAATCGTTTCTATTATACTAAAATAACACTACTCATTTTTACTGTAGTGAAACTTACTAGGAGAAACCAAAAGTGGCCAAAAAAAAAAATAAATAAATAAATAAAATAAAGTATATAGCAAATATATATTTAAATAAATATAAAACAATTATTATATTTAAAAATGTAATTAAAATATTTAAATGAAAATTAAGTGTGCACAAACACACATATTTTATACAAGCATACATATCTTGTCTTAGTGAGAAAAGCAGCTTTCCGCTTATCACACAAAGTAAAACCTCAACGCACGCAAGTCTCACAAAATCTGAAGCGTGAAGATAAACTCCGAAGAGTTGCCCCACTCTTGCTCCTCTCTCTCACTCGTGCTACCCCCCTCTCCCACTAAGGAGTGGCAGCGTGTCCCTCCTCGCCCCCCTTGTTGTTGTTTTCTTGCTCAATGAAATAATCTCCCACCACCTTCATCCCTCACCCCATGCCACCCCCCCTGGCCCAGTCTAGGTCAGAGGGCCCCCCTCAGCCTGTTGCTGATTGTGAGTGCAGCGGCAGGGAGAAAAAGCACACAATTAGGCACAGATGGCTGTCTGCCTCGTGGTGCCCAGCTCGGCTCCCGCTGTAAAGGGCCATTCTGCCGCCTCTCGCTTTGCCCGCAAGTGTAATTCAAATGAGAGATCAATGAGCGGTATACTAAAAGTAACAGTTCCAATTATTCTGCCTTTTATTTTCTGTTCCTCCTGAGCGTCATGGGGGCAGATCCTCTTTTTCTCTTTTCACCGTGAGACGACATCGGCTCAAATGATGCCACTATCTTTTGGATTACGGAAATTCTGTTGTCAAATCGGAACGTTATCACCTTGTCTCACTCTCCTGATGATTTGAGGGAAAATAGGGTCAGATTAGCCGGGTTAATCCGTAATCCCTGAATTTAGCTATTGTGGTAACTGGAGACAAATGCAATCAAGTTTGATCAAGCATCGCTGTCTTGCGGTTTATCTGACAGCTTTTGAATGACAAGTAACTAATCTTAGAATTAAATTTCCATTTCACTGGACGCCATATTATCAGATTTCCAATGCTATTGTACAGCATAATGTCTTCACATTCATTAGCAAGCACAATCTCATTAACACGTGCTGCCTTGTAACTTGTATAGGCTACACTACCTGCCAATTTTGATAATTGATCACATAACTTGATCAAAAAAAAATAATTTCAAAACAATGCTCAGCCATGATGCAAATATGGATTATTAATATCAATAACGAGTAAGAACTGACTGCACTTCTGAAATCGTCTTAAAAAGAGAGAGAGAGGTGACAACATAAAACACAACCTAAAGCGTAAAAAAAACAGCCTTACAGCGTTTTCAGCTCTTCGTCATTGACAGATGTTTGTAAACAGTAACGACGCTAAAAATACAGCGTGCAATGTGCATAATTCGGGCACCTACACACTTTTGCCTTTTCACGGCGAATAAAAGTTTGATCGTTTAAGTATTGTCCGCTGACGTCACTTTGATTCCTTGAAGTGAGGCAGAATAAACCTTGAAAGGACTCTCCTTCAATCTGCTGTTCGTAACTAACACACACAAACACACTCACACGCGCAGTCACTCACTCACACACACACACAGAGACTCAATTACTGCCCAATTCCCTTCTTCATCATCTCCTGCTACACCGGCCTCTTCCAAAAGCAAATCGAAAAAGGAAAACAAAGAGCAACGTTAGCCTACCTGAAGTGATACTTCGAACCCGATCGAGGCGGAATTACGCGAAGTGTCAAAACTAAGGGTAAGTTTTGAATTTATTGAGAGCTGGATCAGTTATTTCATTAGAGAATCAATGTTGTGTCGCTGGCTGGCTTGATTTCTTAGCGAGGGCAGCTAACTCGATAGTTTCTTTAGGTTGGCTACGCGTGTCCCTCGAGCGTAAAAAGCGCAAAACTTGTCAAAAGCATTTCAACGGCGTTGTCGGGAAAAGCCGATCGAGAGAAATATTCCGATGCGACTGCGAATAGCGCAAAACTTTACGAGTGAACACAATGTTGCGCGCGGGGGTTGTGACTTCATAATAGGAATCTGCCTTTGTGCCCTCTCGCGTGCGCTTTAACTGCTACGTTTTTAAATGTAAACTGTTGGTAAACACTCCTTAATGTTTCCAAACATGTTTCAAAAGAGCAAGCGCTTCCCCGTCGTTCGTTTGGGTACGTAAAAATGTAATATTTGATTTTAGAGGGCTTGTTTGAAGAGAAGGCGATGCGGGAGATCACTTGGAGGAGCTGACGCTACCTTTGGTCTGTTTAATGTCCGTCTCTCAGATGATGGCAAAAGCTAACAGCTCTTCATTGAGACATGATAAAAGCATTTACTTTACAATTCCTTTTGATAAAAGCCGTTAAAAGCACACGGTTTCGTATTTTCGACGGGGAAATCGCCTGCTCCGTCGGAGCGGGTCGCTGGCGTTGAGTTGGAGCTTCGCGTTGCTCTTATCTTTGTTGCTTCCTTAAAGAGCAGCAGCTGCCGCCTGGCCGAGTTGTTGAAATTTATCCCTTTGTGTATATTACAATATCCTCCATTTTTTCTGCCCTCTAAACAACAAGCCTCACGCCATCTTGGTTAATTTTAACTGGCGGATCCGTGTATTCTTAGGACTCGAGCTGCACATGTCGTTACAGGCAGAAAGTTTAGAAATGTCTTATGTGGTGGCGGTGACGTCATGTGAAGTTTAAGTAAAATGTGATGTTTTGCCAAGAAAGCGTCGAATTTGTTATCTCGCTTGACATTGGTGGGAAACTCTGCTTTTCGGTTAGTTTTGCTGTCGGAATGTCTCCTGATGAATAAAAACAAACATTTTGATGTGATCTTGAGAATCATACGCGATGTTTAATGATTCGGTGTTTACAGGTGGAATGAATGACATCAGCACGTAATGATGTCATTTAGTGAGGTGAACTGTTTATTGTCTTTTCTTTGTCTGAAATTGAGATTTTTTTTTTTTTGAAGTTTAAACATTTCGTAATTCCCCATGAAGCATTTCTTAAGAATGTGCTGTGATGATGAATCAGTGAACTATGGTTTCACATCCATTTCAGAGATTTTTTCCCCCCTCTCGAATGACCAGAATCGTATTTTGATCCTTTCAGACATAGGCTATTTGAGTTTGTCACATGAATTTATGGCTCACGAGGTTAATAATTATGGTCTCACTGTACAGTCATTTCCTCATTTAAAAGACTTAAGATGTTCTAGTTAGATTATGATATGCATATACTTTTGTATAGAGCCTGTGTGTTTTATTTGTGCATGTACACACAGTGTGTAGCTAAAGATAGTTTTACCTCAGTAAATTTGTAGTGGTTTGTGAATGAACAGTCCTCTCCACCTTCAAAAAAGCAAGTGTTACATATTTGAAAGTTTCTGTTATGCAAGTCATGAACTTTTTACAATTAGTGGTCAGCCATGCAAAACCCGCAGGCAAGCCATAGGCTGGTTAAATGGCTGGACTGTGTCTGTTTTGTATCAGTAGGGCTCTGTCTCATCTAGCCCAGTGCCCTAGTCATTATGCATGGAGCAGGCTGTTGTTTTTACAGAATGCCTCAGATGGAGAAGTCAGTGTTTCCACCTCCCATCTCTTTGTCTGAGTATGTGCTTCTGCTAAAGCCATGAGAGCAGGGGAGCAGATGTTTAGCCAAACATCCTGACGCGATGCTTTTCTCTTGTGGGAATGCCGCCTCTTCCTCCCTGTTCCCAATGCATCGCCTTGACAGCTGCTTGATTTCATGGAACCACTAAGAAGCCATTAGCGGTATCAGTGAATTGAAACGGAACAGTCTCACCCACTCTCTTCTTCCATTAGAAATGACTATTGTTGGATGTTTTTTTCCTTTCTTTGTGAGTGTGTGTGTGTGTTTATTCTAAGCACACAGAAGATCTCTTATATACTTGTACTGTTTTTCTTACCACGAATTAGGGAGAGCAAATCTGTCAGGGCCTGTTTGTGCTGTTGGGGTTTGAAGGGATCTCACACTGTGCTCTCTCAAGCACACCCAGACCACTGGATGTCTCTAGCTGCGAAGACAGAAAAAAAAGAACTTTGCTCGGGGTTAGAGTGTCAGCCACACGTTTCTGTCCAGGATGTTTGTTGTTTTCCCGACAGGATATGGGTTAGGCTTGTGAGAAGATGTTCGTATCTAGGAATTAGTTTAATTTGGGATCTTTAGAAGGATCTTGTTTAAGCTCTTGTTTGCATGTCTTTGTTGTGTGTACAACAACAAATGATTGTACACACTGTATTATGTCTACTGTTAGTGTTAAGTGTTAACTGTATGCACCAAGGGTCTGAGAGTAACGCAATTTCAATTCTCTCTATGTATGTGCTGTACATGTGGCAGAATTGACAATAAAGCAGACTTTGACTTTGACTTTGATTGTGGTGTAATGAGCTGATTACGAGAAAATGTGGGCTGCAGAAGCTGTCGAATGCAAGTTTAGCTCAGGCAATCCCAAATGCACATGAGTTTGGGTTTGTAATCACACTTCCTCCAAAACCGGGCACTGATCAGTGTGGTTCATTTAAAGATGATTTGAATTTATTGGATGTTCCACTCATGCTGTTACATATGAATGACTGGAGAGCAGTTAACACGCATAGCCCTGCCTGTGTCTCATAGTCTAAATGGCTCTATGGGGTTTCATTCTACATCTTATTGGATTAGATGATATTATAGTCAACTGCAGTGTATAACATTGTGCTTTCACTTTAACAACTTACTTGACACCCTTTCTAGAAGATTACTTATGCCATGGTTATGTTTAGTAAATGAACCCTCTATTTTTAGCATTGTAAAACCCAATTCAGATTATTTAAAACCTTTGTTATGATTTAGAGACACATTATTTGCAGCATCTTCAGTGATAACCCATTGATTTAGGTTTTTAAACATGCATCAATCATTGCGGCGTTAATGGCAAAATTGATTTCAATGAACTTCGGAAAGCTCAGCCTAGAGTTTCCGGACTGTCGTTTGATTTAACCGTTCTATAAAAGTCAGAGGCAGCGAGAAGTTCTCACCTGATCATAACACCTGTCATTTAAAGAGCTAGAACGCAAGCACGGGCTTGATTATACAAGCTGTGGTGTGCCACGTGTGTGGCCAGTAACTGCCAAATGAATCAGCCCCGAATACTCGATGCTGGAAGGTCAGCGGTGAATTTGTTTTCCAAGCAGGTTGCGTCCTTGCACTCATAACGACTTGGCAAATCACCTTGTAAATACTGTCAGATACTCTTCCCCGTGCTGCTTTGTGAGAAGACAGTTGGCATGACGCTAAATGGTATCATGGATAAGTGCATCTCTATCTTGACTTACTTGGCTAATGATTTATTTTGTCGTTAGCAAACAGCTTTGATTGTAGAATTTCCTCTCAACAGTTGGCTCTTACATAATAGCGGGTTATGTGGGTTGCTGTTTAGCGTGAACATTAGCGCTCGGGAGACAACTGTTTGTGTCAGCAGAAGCGCAAGTCGGTTGCGGCAGACTTGATAATTGTGTCGCAAACATGATCTTCTTTACCTTTAGCCTGCCGTTCCATGGTAACGAGGCAGAGGAGCTGGAGATTCGCGTTTCTACGGACAGTTAAATGAATGGGCTTTTCTACCAGCAGCTGAAGCGGGTCACACCAAACTGACTCTGTTTTCAGATAAACACAGGGAGGACACAGGGGCCGAATTTCAGAGGCAGGCAATTAGCTGCTTTTTGGTTCAGTGTCCCTCGGGCCTCTGTTTATCATTCAATGTGAGAATATCCCTGATGAAACTCAAGGTTATTTTTGTTGGGCTGTCTGAGCGCTTGTTTTTCACAGACAAGGTGAAAGAGTTGATTTTTCCCTCAAGAAAGGCTTCATATTGAGACTTGCGAAAGAAAAATCTCCTTTGCTGTAACTTCACAGTAAGGAATTAAGCTTCGGGAAGTGTACGTTCGGAATACGTGTGTATCTTTCCGCCAGCCTCTGCTGTTAATCAACGAGGCCGATCTTGTGCTCGACACCTGAAGGTCGTCATTCTGAATCCTTTCTGTGCGCCTGTTGTTCTGCTTTACATCTGCCCCCCCCCCAGCTCCTCAATGAGGGGTTGAGTGCATTAGTGATTCCGGGCAGAGGAGTATTCTGGAGAGATGAGGGCTGTTTTTTTCCACCCTGCGCCGGTTGTGTCTCCGGTGTTGTTTGCCCTCCAGGAGACTGTCATGTTGCCTGTGCCGTGGGTTGCCACTGCAGTGCTCCATTCCCCCCGCTGAGATAATTTAGCCCGTGTTTGAAATGCCAGTAGTTTGGCCTATTTGTTCTAGTGCTTATCGCTATATTTGCATCCAGAGTAGAAATAGCCATGATTTCAGGAATGGCTGGAATGATGCTCCTCTTGTGGGAGAGGGCAGAAGGGAGGCTGGGTGGGATTTGGCGAGAGCTGTGGGATGGGAGAGAATCTACTGCACTGTGACAGCTGACTGCAGGACATGCAGTATTTGACCCTCGCACACACATATGCACTCAAAGACATTCAGAGATTATGCTCAAGCAGCCCCCTCTTATTTATTGATCTCGCTGCATTTAAAATCTGGTCACTACCACCACAAAGCCATTTCATTTTAGCCGCGCTGGCAAAGAGCACCTCGGCGCAGCAAGAATTTTAAATTTGCGCACGAAATGACAAGGATGAGATGGAGACAGCAAAAGGATTGAAAACAGAATAGTTTAAGCTGACACTGTAATGTGCTTTAGAAACCGAAGGCCTTTTTGTTTTGCGTAAGTTTGCTTGCTCTCACATTTTACATAAGCTTTTTATTTAATCTCTTAAAACATTAACATGGTTAGTAGGGCAGTTTAGTGGAGAACACCAGCATTTAACCCTGACATGACACATGAAGAAGTGAGGTTTTTGTTTTTTAGTAAAATAATCTAGCCTGGTTTAAACTAGGTCTTGAACAGTAAACAAACCACTGTTGGATTAGCTGTGAGGTTTTATAAAAAGATCTCCAGATTGAGAGAGCTGGATTAAGGGTTCTAATCTGCGATCGCGTGAAGGTGCATCATGGTGTGTTCCTGGAGTCTACAGACGCGGGATTAGGCGATTCAGCAGGCCTCATGCTCGCCGACCCGCAACAAATGTGTGTGCGTGTGTGTTTTGGGGGGGGAGTCTGTCTCGGTCATTAGAAGTTAGGCTGAGGCTGCTTTGTTTAAGGTTGGAACGGACGGGTGATTCTTTGTTTAAATAATGCAATCAGTTGAAGAGATAAGGTTAAGGACTGCAGGTTGTTTAGGTAGCAAAGGAGTGTTTGTGTCATCAGATTGTTCAGTGAAACAGTCTGTGGTGTGGTTGTTTCACATGACACTCGAAATGAGAGGAAAAACACTGCATGTGCTCTCTTTCTCTCTGTATTATCTCTGTTAGATGGGTAGAAAGCTGTGAAACCCGTCTGTAATATGAGCAGTCAGTAAACTTGGCAATAGCAATAGAAAAAGCCTGATCCGGAGGCCATGAAGAGCCTCTTGTTGAGTCCTTCGAATGTTAGTGTGTGTATGATTGCGTGGAAGTGCATCTGTATGTTTGTTCTGATGGCAAAGGATCATATGGACGCATTCTAGGGCGAAAGATGAAATGAATGGTAGAGTGAGCAGTGCATCCTTATTTGACCACGGTGTATGTGTGCAAGCGCCTCCGTAACCGAAAGCCTTGTTTTGTGCTCTTAGGGTTTTATCTGAGTGTGTGTTAGTGTGTGTGCACATGCATACGGGTGACTGTGCATCTATGTGTGTTTGTGTGTTGGAAATATCCTTTGCTCCTGCAGGCTAGAATAAATCCTGTGTGAGAACTCCCTGGTGTAATCCAAACACTGGCAGCTAATTTAAGCGTGCAGCAGGAGCAACATCATCTTTCATGAAAACAATGCATTCAGTCTAGAGCTCATCTTCACTTCCTTCAGTCATCTATTCAGCCATCACCTTGACTTCAATGTTACAGCTCAAAACACAACCCAACACAACCGCTCAAAACACCACCACACCCCAACAGTGCAGCTCAACATGCCACTTTATTGAACATTCCAAACAAACCACCACACAACCTAATGCTACCTCTCAACATACTATCACAACCCAACATTACAGGCCCAACACTACACCTCAACATGCCACTTTGACTGAACATCCCAACACAATGATCAGTCCACCACCATAACCACATACACTTTAGCTCATTGCAGGCCCAACACACCACCAGATGATCCAACCCAACACTTCAACATGCCACTTGACAGAACATCCCAACACAATGCTCAGTGCACCACCATAACCCAATACAGCCACAAACCACCACACAACCCTACACTTTAGCTTAGGCCACTACAACCCAACACTACAGCTTAATATGCTACTGGATGACCTGAAATAACAGCCCAATACACCACTTGACTGAACATCCCAACAACAGTCTGAAAACACCATCACAACTCAACACTGCATCTCAGTACCCAACAGACACAGCAGCTTAACAAACCACACAATCTAATACTATAGCCTAACTCACCACAATTGCCCAACTTGCCACCAGATGATCCAACACCTCAACATGGCACTTGACTGAACATTCCAACACAATGTTTAACACACCAACATACCCCAACACTGCACACCCAGTAGACCACCACACGATGACCTAATACTGCAGCTCAACACACTTCCCCCCCACCTAAACACTTAAGCCCAACACACCACCAGGTGACTCAAAATAACAGCTCAATACACCACTTGACTGAACATCCCAACAACATGCTCAACACACCACCACAACTCAACACTATCTCTCACACAATCTCAGAACAACAAATCAACACCACCAGATGACTCAACACAACACTTGACTAAACATCCAAGCACCATAGCTCAACACAACACAACACCATAACTTAACAATACATCTCAACTCCACACCGATTACCCTCCGCAACAGCTCAATTCACCACTTTTGGGAACATCCCAAAATCATGCTCAGCACACCCACTACAAGCCAACACTATACACCTAGCAAAGCACCATGACTTAACACAACAGCTTAAGCCGCTACCACAACCCACACTACAGCTCAACACGCCGGTGGACTGAACATCCTAACTCCACCCTAATACTACACATCCAACAGACCACCACATGACCCAACACAACAGCTCAACGTGCCATCTGTAACATCTCAACACCATAGCTCAACACACTACCATAACACATGAGGGTGAGTAAATGATGACAGAAGATTTACCAGAACAACAACAGCAGTCACCTTCCTCAGCATACTTCAGACCATCATGTCCCTAATAGATCGTAATATTTGTTGGAAAAATATATTTTATATTTGTTTTAAAAGGCAGGCATTTTTTTTGTCATTGTTGCTGCTTCACTGGATTGATGTCAGGTTGATGGCGAGAGCTTTCCTGTTGGGTGTGTTGAGCTTAGGGATGATAGATGACTATCTGGTTGGTTTATGTGTGTCAGTGTGTTTGTTCGTATGTGTGTGTGTGTGTGTGTGTGTGTGTGTTTGAGAGGAAGGCGTGACAGCTGCATAGGCAGTGGGATTGACCTTCACGCAGAGAAATCTCAAGGCCTGTTTGATTACACGGTATTCTGCTGCTTTGCGTTCTTTAGCGCTTAACTTAATTCGCGGACAGCGGTTAATCTGTGATCGGCTTCTTTTGACTGCCAGTGTTATTGTTCAGGGCCCTCAATTAGGGTACATGTTGTTCAAATAATATGGTCAGATGTAAGGCTGTTATCTTTGTTTTTTGAAACGGTGGTATTGTGCTAGTACATACTTCGCTTGATATAAAGTGGCCTTAAAGAGTTTAAAATGATGTTTGGACACTGTTAAAATCACAAGGTCTCACTTTCTCTTTGTGGTTTACTAAAATGTAAAGTGTTAGATTTAGATTTGTACAGTTCTGCTCACCATACCACTTGCAGAATGTGCAAGATGCGATTTGTAAGTTTATTTTTCATTAAAAAAAATAAGAGAGCGTAAAAATGCATTTACAGATAGTTTCCACAAAACAAAATAATAACTGAATTTACTCAAATAATTACCTTGTGTCATAATACCATATGTTGCATCCACAAGCATCAGTGACTCTATGTAAGCTTTTAATAGTTGTACATAAGTCTCTGGTTTGGTCTTGGAGGTGAAAACTACCCACTGTTCTTAGCAAGTTCTTGGGTTTCTCAGCATGGATTGCACATTTGGCTATATGATGCTTGAGGAGTCAACAACAGATGATATCAAGAGCAGTATGAAACACCTTACATATTACCCATTTTTCTCATCTTTCCTTTAACATTGTGCACTTATAACTTTGTAATATCATCAGAGGCAATTAAAAGTGTGTGTGTGTGTGTGTGTGTGTGAGAATTCTCAACTCATTGAAATGTTTTAAATTATGACATGCACGAGATTCCTTGGACTGACTAGTGAACAAACATTTAAAGTGCATGTTTTTAAAAGCTCTTGTAAGGCTTTGCATTTCACATGCATTTCACAGGATTTCACTTAAAGGCTAACCTAAAGTAAAGCCTCTGATCATTTTCCCATTAGTTTGTTTGTTTTCGTATCTGGGAGTGCCTAAAACATGTTTTCTGTTCCTGCCGTGTCTGGCTATGACTGCAGAGCTTCAGAAACTTTCCCACATGTTCTACCTTTTGTTTAAGAAGCGCTCCATTTCATGTAGAGACACATGAGTGTTTTCTCTCTCTCTCTTTCGCTCACTCTTGTTTTTCCTTTTGCTTCCATCTGGTCTTCATTTCCACCAGACTTCAAAGGTGAAGGAAATCGCGGATAGGAAATGGGTTGAATATTAATTTGGCCTTATTGAGTTGCTGTGTTCTGCACAGATGAACTTTTACCACAAATGTAAAGCCAAATTACCACATTGTTTAGCAATCCGTTCAAAGACGATTGCTGTGTCCTTGTGTTAGAGAGAGCAACTCTTTGTGTGCGTGTGTAGCACGGTTCTTCCATTAGCGTGTGAGTGATGACCTCCAGAGTGGGCAGTTTAAGTTATAGCGCATCCCCTCCTCTCTCTCAGATGGAGCTAATTGTCTGGTGGCCATTTTTGAGAAAGTGTTTCCAGGTATGAGGGTTTTTTTTGCCCTCTGGATGGCCATGTCCTTTTTTCCCCTCTTTATTTATCTTTTTTCCCATCCCTTCTGTTCTCTTGGATAAACCACAATCGGCCTAATGATGAAAGAATAAGATTATCAACAAGAGAGAAAGAGATCTGGTCCAAGGCTGTTTTTTTTCCCAGTCACAGAACTCACACACAGATTCCATTTTGTCAGCTTTCAGCTGGGCATAATACAGCGATAAAAGACTCTGCCCTGCAGCCACACTGAATCATACAGAGCAAAGAGAGGGAGAGAGAGCAAGAAAGAGATGAGAAAGCGAGAGAAAAGGAAAGAGAAGTCTCTTTGTGCTGTGTGTGCTCATATTGTATGAAAAAAGATGAATCACTTCTATTTAGGGATCAGTTTCCTGAAACTGGATGGGTGAGACGATTCCACGGGAGATAGATTGTCGGGACTTGCCTGTGTTTCTCTGAAGGGTTCGAGCTAAACGTCTGCAGTCGTGGCAAGGTGCTCCCTAAAGGACCGGCTCCTCCGACAGGAAGTATCAACCTGGAGCAGAAAGAACTAAAAGGAAAAAAAACCCTCCCCTCCCCTCATTTCTCCTCGCCCACCATCCCCACACCTGCTAACGCTTTACGTGTCCTTGGCCACTGCGGCGATGGAGCACCTCCACCGTAGACGGATGAGTCGGATTTTGATTGACGTGTGGATGCTGTCAGTCACAGCCTGGCTCAGTGTGTAGCAAACAGTGGTAAACTGTTCCAGACATCTAACTCTGCCCAGATGGAAATGTTTTAAAGAACTAAAAAGAGGAACTAACTGCCCAGCCACATATTACTCGGAGTGCGTCTGCTGTTCGTTTGTGGTGGTAATTTGTTTTAGTTTTTTTCCTCATTGTGCATGTGGTGTTTGTTTCTGAGCAGTGTGTGTATTTGCAACTTGTTATCTGTGCAGATTGAGGAGATTGGAAACCGAATCTGATTTGTGTGTCTGTTTCACCTTTGTGTCTCACTGCTGTGATGTTCCTGATAATTCTTAAGCACACACATACACACACAAACAGACAGAAACGCACACAAATGCTGTGAGAAAACTGGAGCAGGCTGGTTTTCTGCACAAGACAGCGTGTGTGCTTGGAAAAACGTCCCACACACCCTGGGTTTTAAAGCCTTACTGTAATTCCAACAGGTTTAGCAGGAAAAAAGACGGAACCGGGTGCGTGTATGAGCATTCACACATTCATGTGTTTTTGCTGTACTTGTGTGGACATGTGAAAAGTGGTTGTCAGTGTCTTTGTGTATGTATGTGAGTGTTTTTCTTACTTTAAAACCATTGGCAGCCACAGGTTGGGTGTAAACACACTAAACACTGTATTACTCCAGCCACAGCTCTGAAACCTGTTGCCGTTGACTTTTCCCCTTGGGGCCGAGGCTTATTATTAAGTGTAATTTAGGACAGTTTACCTCAGTTTTGCTTCTGTTTAGTGACCAAATGTGCTATTAAAACACTTTCCTTTCTGTTTCTTTTTCCCGGTCTCCTACAGGTGGACAAGCAGTGATGTCACACAGCTGAGGACATTCCCACTCAGTGAGTATTTGTTCCATAATTCTTAGCAACCAGTTGTCATCACTTTTTTTTTTTTAAACCTTTGACTTTGCATTTGTTGCAAGACCAGTTTTCCAGTTTTGAAGTCATTTGGCACGGTTATGTACCTCTGTGTTTGTTTCGGGCAATTGGATGCTGTAACCAAAAAGGGTGAACACAGATTCAGCCGATTTAAACCTAATTTAATTTCATTCTTAGGATGTGAGCCCCTCTTCTCACCCCTCTCCCTCCCAATTAGCTGAAACAAAGCTCTCTAAATGCAATTGTTAGGTTGACATTTCTTAAGCGTGCTTTGTTTTGTTTTTTTGTATTTGTAAAGATCTTTAATTTGGCAATTCATTTTCACAGCCGAGTCTCTCGAACGAACCGCAGCCGTGGAGAGAGTTTGTGCTTTGGAACAAACAAATCAGCCGGTTTCTCTCTCTCCCTGTGTGGGCTCAGGCTAATTGGTAGCGCGGATGCTGGTCGCGGTGTTAGCGGTGATGCTAGGCAGGCGGCAGCCTCTCAGGGCTCTCTGCTCGGTTGCGTCGTTTCATTCCCCAGCTCCCTGGTGGTTTCAGAGAGTGACAGAAATACAAGGATGTTTCTTTCCACTCTCTCGCTGTCTCCTTCTCCCTCTCATTCTCTCTGTCTATACCACTAACAAGTGACAATGTAGAGTTTGAGTTCTGGAGTGCTTAAAGACTGAGAAACGGACTGCAGCTGCCTCAGGTGAACATGCAGCTGTGTGTAGACCAAGTGCTTCCTCAGATGTGCGTGGGTGAGAGAGAGTGTGTGTGTGTCTGTGTGGTGGCTTACAGATGACTTTTATTAGAAAAGCGCTCCATTCACACTCCAGAGGAAACGATATATTTGGAAAGAAATATAAGGATGGCAAGAAAGAGAGAATGGGATAGGGAAAAACAGAGAGAGACAGAGACAGACTAAGACAGCGAGACAAAGACGGGCTCTCAGCTCCTCAGCTACACATCACTGCGGCCTCTCGCATTGGCAGCAGTCACTGCCACCGTCTCAGCCATCAATAATGGTAATGGAAGCCCCATCCGAGCATTGATTTCTGGGAATTGTAGAAAGCCGTGAAGGGTCATCCGTGCTCAACGGCCCTGCTCGTTTAGTGAAGGCGAGACAGGTCAGGATTTCAGCATGAATCACACTAACATTCCTGTATGTCTGACTTACAAGGCAATCATGCTTTGAGGCAGCACCGTGCATGTCCTTTTAATGCCAGGCATTGCCCTAGAAAAAATGGGAGAAAAACTAATTTTTGGGGCTGTCAGTTTAACACCTTCATTTACTACAATTAATTACAAAAAATAAGGTGTTAAAAGAATTGGCACATTTAATCATGCCCTCTGACTTACAGGCAGCGTGCTTCATCAAACCGCATTAGCAGGCGGCAATGAACAACAACTATGAAATGAGATACGTCTATAGTAGTGTTGTTACTATAGTAGTAAGCATAGCATAAAATTGTTTAAAATAAATATTAAATAAAAAATAAAGATGAAAAACTTAAATTAAAAATAAGAAGTATAATTTAAAGTACTTAAATTTATAAAATTAAAACTAACAATAAATTAAAGCTGAACAGAATGACAACCATTTGAATTTGAATGACAACCAAAAATAAATACTGTACATTTAGAGAAATAATAAAATAGCACTGTTCTTTCTGGAGTGCTTAAAGACTGAGAAACGGACTGCAGCTGCCTCAGGTGAACATGCAGCTGTGTGTAGACCAAGTGCTTCCTCAGATGTGCGTGGGTGAGAGAGAGTGTGTGTGTGTCTGTGTGGTGGCTTACAGATGACTTTTATTAGAAAAGCGCTCCATTCACACTCCAGAGGAAACGATATATTTGGAAAGAAATATAAGGATGGCAAGAAAGAGAGAATGGGATAGGGAAAAACAGAGAGAGACAGAGACAGACTAAGACAGCGAGACAAAGACGGGCTCTCAGCTCCTCAGCTACACATCACTGCGGCCTCTCGCATTGGCAGCAGTCACTGCCACCGTCTCAGCCATCAATAATGGTAATGGAAGCCCCATCCGAGCATTGATTTCTGGGAATTGTAGAAAGCCGTGAAGGGTCATCCGTGCTCAACGGCCCTGCTCGTTTAGTGAAGGCGAGACAGGTCAGGATTTCAGCATGAATCACACTAACATTCCTGTATGTCTGACTTACAAGGCAATCATGCTTTGAGGCAGCACCGTGCATGTCCTTTTAATGCCAGGCATTGCCCTAGAAAAAATGGGAGAAAAACTAATTTTTGGGGCTGTCAGTTTAACACCTTCATTTACTACAATTAATTACAAAAAATAAGGTGTTAAAAGAATTGGCACATTTAATCATGCCCTCTGACTTACAGGCAGCGTGCTTCATCAAACCGCATTAGCAGGCGGCAATGAACAACAACTATGAAATGAGATACGTCTATAGTAGTGTTGTTACTATAGTAGTAAGCATAGCATAAAATTGTTTAAAATAAATATTAAATAAAAAATAAAGATGAAAAACTTAAATTAAAAATAAGAAGTATAATTTAAAGTACTTAAATTTATAAAATTAAAACTAACAATAAATTAAAGCTGAACAGAATGACAACCATTTGAATTTGAATGACAACCAAAAATAAATACTGTACATTTAGAGAAATAATAAAATAGCACTGTTCTTTAAAAGTCCTTAAGTCTAGCTCAGACAGATTGGTGACTTAATTACAGAATCCACTTTTTTGTCTATTCAGTGGTTTACTTATCTACCACAATAATGTAATATGTTTGATTTATTTTAATTTGGTAACTTTTCTCAGCAAATATTGATATATGCAGTTAATTGTGACTTATTTAGAACATGTGACAGATTTATAATCTCCATAATATGCAATCAATTCACTTACAATTTTTTTTAATGATTTGATGTTTTTTTTTCCAGAATGTTACATCCAGCATTGCAAATTAAGGATATACAGGTTCAAAATTTGAGATTCAAGAAAATGCAAAATAAAGTTGCTTAGCAAAAGTCTCTGCCAAGTTCATAAAAGTAAATATAGTGTTAACTGATAGTAGAAACTAAACAAAAGCATACTGAAGCCTTGCAAGAGTATCGGTTATAGGGATGAACTTTCCTTTCTCATGAAAAAAAAGAAAGGAAGGAACAAAATAAAACACTGCTTGGACACCCAGAGGGAATTACAAAAGTTTATGGATGGAGAGAATATCAACCAGTCTCTTTGGAGAGTTGAAATTGTAAAGTAAAATCAGGTCTGTCAGGACATATCGAGGAAGACACACTCTTTTCGTTCTGTAATGGAGGTTATATGTTGTAGTCACTGAAAATGTTGGAGACTATATGGAAGAGAGAGAACTGAGCTCTTGCAATCTTGCCCAGGGGCAAACCAGCTATTTATTAGCGCACATGTTAAACCCTCTCTCTTCAAAGCAAACTTTCCTCCCAGCCTCCCACAGAGGGGGAAAGAGAATAATAAAGCAGAGGAAATGGCATTTCTCTGCACAAAGTGGATATGAGTGTGTTCGGTGTAACCAACTACTCTTTATTTCGAGTAGAGAAAGAAACGGAAAATAAAAGCAAAGGAAGACAAAAGAGGGTGGTGAAAGAGAAAAAAGAGGCAAGAGAGTGTGTTTGAGCATAGATCTTGGCCAGGCAGTGTCAGGCTCCTGGCCTCTCTCTTTCTCTTTCCTGCGTCCCTGGGGACGGCTCATAGCTCATACTTCCTGCTGGAGAGATCTTGAGCAGGAATCATGGTAGAGGGGTTTGTTTTCATTGCTGGTGCTGTGCAGTAGGAGTGTGTCTGTACTTGTGCGTCAGAGGCAAAACATACCGGTTGTTTGATACAAATAATGCAGGCATGCTGGATTCTTTGTGCGCGCGTGTGTGTGAAAGGTGTAATGGACCCCTGCCTGAACTCTGCTGTGCCCTCCAGATCCCCGGTGAGAGTTATTACCTCAATACAAAATGCTGGACACACACACATATGCACACACACAGTGAAGGAGAGAGTTTGAAATGGGGTGCCTCAAGTGTCTGTCATTGGCCCTTTTTGTTTTCTCTCTCTCTCTTTGTCCCTCTACTTGGCACTTACGATTTTACTGTTCCTTCTTGCCTTAAATATTTATACCTGGCCAGGGTACGAGGCCATGCTGATTCCGACTGTTCTGGAGGATACAGCAATGAATACTGAATCTTCCATAGAGAGAAAGAATGAGTCGGTTATGAGGCAGTTAATATTCAAAGTACATCATAAACATAATCTCCTATTATCTTGCCTTAGCCAGGCCCCCCACTTGCATAAGTGTTATCATCTATGGCTTTATACACATACACGCACAATACACATATGCAGGTTCTACGAAGTGGATAAATGCTATTTGTCATTTGCTGTTGTCATTGTGTTTTAAAGTGGCAGCGCAATGACAACATAAGCCAAAAATAACAGTATAGGAACATGTAGGCACTCCTGTATCCATCACAACTAGAAAGATAGATAAATGAATACAGAAAATAGAAGATGGGGCTGAGAGAGCGGGAGGGAGAGAGAGAGAAAAGGAGAGGGGAAAAACATCCAGAAGGTCAGGATCAGCGGGTGGCCATCTAAGGGAGCGACATGGAGAGACTCCGATTGAGTTTCACCAACCCCGTTACCGTGGAGATCCATCCAATAATACCACCCTATCCACAGCAGAATCACTATAATACACTACACCTACAACAGACTGACAAATAGTACACTGGCTAAACTGAGACAACTACAGCAGGCAATGCTCAAATCTGAAGCAATATCTCGCTAATGCTCCGTATGAATCCACGTATTTTGCTTCAGCAGCACAAATGTTTTAACTCGGCCCAACCCTAAGACAGGTGTCCTTTTGAAATAATGAAAACTACCTATTTGTTGATTGTGGTTCAGCTAAACATGGTGGAACCATGTGGGAGTGTCAATGTGGTTACCATGTTTTTGGACTG